GCTTGTCATACGCTTGGCGTTGTCCACCTTCTATTCCACTAAAGACATTATGGTCACATTGTTGGCCATACTATGCTGTGGTGCAAGTCCATTCCTAGGCTCTGTTATATTAAAACATTCTTGCTAGATAAACCTCCACGGCTAGTAGTATGAATAAGCCCATTGCTGTATGATACATTAGAGCATTGTTGGAGCGTGCGTGAAGATAAGATTGTCTGCTAGATATTCCTGTGCATAGCCACAGTTTGCTGGCGAGAAGGTTAAGCAAAATTGACTGCAGGCTTTAAGATTTGACTTCTTATATTTGAAAACTTATCTTTGACTGCTAAAACATTGAGAAAGACCTCCGCTTCGCCTCGGTTTTTAATTGGCTTTTGTTAAATAATTATATCGATCTCGTACTCAGTCAATTTTCGATACAATCATATCCAAGGGCTTGGCGGTCCACACCCGTCCGTGTCCCAACAACACACGTCTGACACTGAACGATTCTCATTCGGCTCACTGGAGCAAGGTATGGGTGATCGCCACTCCCAAAAACGAGTCCAGCTATTTTTACGTGGTGCACTACGCCCAGATATGAGGAACTATTAGCAAGCCGTGAAACGGCAACGCGAAAGGGGAGCTGGGTTAGAGTCCCGTCCCGACCACGCGAAACATACTCGTGTTTGACGATTTCGGAGGTGTCTACTCGTCATGACCGCAACGAGTGGGTTTTAGACAAGTGCGTGCAATTTCAACCATGATACTGAGAATACCACCGTAAATCGCGCCTCTTTTGTCTTTGCGATTTTTCTGAAATTTCCAAAATGTCTCACCAATTCCTGTTGGAATAAATAATTATGATCTCGAAACGTACCAAACAACCAGCAGAATCATTGATTTTGGCATAACTTTTACCACCATGACACAGAACAGGATCCTGGGTAACCACAGTGCCAAACATAGGGCCTTTTCAAGACAAGCTTCAGCTTGCTCGCTCATTTTTGGCTCCTGCTCCGAAACGTTAAAATATTCTCAACTGACTAGCTCCATTGTAAAGTCTTTCGGAGAATGTTTTGGCATGGACATAGTGAACACAACCCTTTGCTGCACCCATCCATCGGCGATGTGACTGTCATGGGGTTTCTTTCACTTTCATTCGGGTAAAAGTCAGTCAGGCTGAGAATTGTTCTCAAGAAAAAGTTCGCAAAAATCATTGCCAGTAAAAATGATCAGAAAGCTGTTTGAAACTGGAAAGCAGCCGACTAGCGTAGACGGGTTGTAAACGCAAGAAGCTAATTCTAAATCACGTGGTGTTTCACGTGCGGTCTGATGAACTCGCTCCCGTTGACGTTTCACGGCTTGCTAATGGTCCCTATGGACTCACAAACTTGTACATGACTTTGCCAGGTCTCCCTCCAGACGCCAAATGTTTGTACTTGTAGTAACCGCAAATGGTAGCCATACCAGCTGATCATGACGATGGTTTACTTGATGACGATTGAAGGTTTAACATTTCCTAATCGCAAGCTTGATTGCTACTTTCTCCCAATTAAGAGAGCATGTCTGAGAATACCAAAGTATGTGTCCAAGTGGATCTCTCCGATTTCGCTCGAAATTTGCAGGTAGGTTCCCTTTGAGGTGTGGATCGATTGTGTAAAGTCCTTGAAATTGTTTCTGAATGGAACCTTGAAATTTGCGTACCACTTAAAAATGGCCGAAATATCACGTTATTTAAGGGTCCCGGAACGAGTCACGCCACAGCGTAAACGAACAAGCTATGAACAAAACTCCATTAAGCCACCGTTGCCTCACCTTAGAGTTCCTGGAGCAGTACCGCTTAACCACGACAGGATCCCAGAAGACGAGGTCCATCACCCCCTGACTCCACAAATGATCGTCTTGAAAGCGCTGGCAAAACAGCCAGCTACGTTCTCAATTGGCCAGAACTATACACAGGCAGATAGTAGAACACCTCTTCTAGGGCTGAGGACATGTCCCCCATCCTCCTTTTGGGGTTTTCTTGAAATAAACTTTTTGGAATTTTTCCACTCGACCATGCTGAAATACGGCCAAAGTCATACCTGCGCAGGAAATCTCGCCCCTCCGCGACGTCTCCTCAGCAATTTCTACTCCAACCCTACTAAGGCCGCGGAACAAAGTGTATTGTTGGCTCTGACAATGAAAAGCAACCGTGATCACTTGTCACTCCAAATGACAAGCTTCTCCTTGCGCCAACAATATTTCTTTGTGCGACTGTTGATGCAAAAGGGACTGAAGTCCTGAGCGCAGTCTTTGAGTTTGATTGCAAGATGCAAGGTGAGACCGCCTGCACTGTGATGTAGGATGACGCTTCGTGGATCACGACACGCGGCCATTGATCGCGAACGTGCCTGGAACGCTACTCGGAACAGACCGTGATGGCAGAGGTAAGATGAGCTGAATTTCCTGCTTGATCTGCTGGGAGCCACCACAAACTGTCCTAGGAGTGTTTCAATGGCAGCAAGCCGTTTAAATATGCGCCCCCGTACAGCATGGAGAGTTATGCATCTTTCACACTTACCTCCTGCAATCCCGAACATAGTCCAACAGCAAAAGTCCCTTGTTTTCATGTCAATGCTCGACAAAAGCTGTTGGCTCGGTCGCTTTGTGTTGACTGGCACGCGAGTAGCACTGACTGGACGAACTAATTATTACTATTATCAGCCTTTTCACGTTTACATCGCCAAGCAAGCTTGGCTAGTCTTCGCCTAGGCCAAATGGAATGAAGAATGCGGAACGAGCGGGATCAATGAGGTGCTAATAGTAATACGCATGCAACTGCAAAATAGGAAAGAAAGAAAATATATATCAAAACAGTCCAAAAGCACACGAACTGTCACCTTTTGACTTCAACAATACAAGAAAACCGAAACTGCTGAGTACTATACGGTCAGTGTGATACATGTACAGATAATTGACGTACATAGTGTCAATAGGCGCTGACATAATACAGGTTAACATAAGTGCAGTTTTTACTGATAATTAGTCGGGTTGTATCGCGACGACGGCCTGGCTGTGTTCAGGAATGCATCAGGACATGAAGCTGACCGAATAAGAAAGGAGATGAACAAAATATTCCAGAACCTCGGACTGAAGAAAACGATACAGACAAACCTGAAGAGAGTCGACTTTCTGGACGTGACATTGGACCTGACCACCGGAAAGTACTGCCCTTACCGGAAACCGAACGACAAGCCGATGCACATCAACTGCCAGTCAAACCATCCACCTACAATCATCCAGAACCTACCTGCATCGATCAGCAGAAGACTAACAGATATTTCCAATGATGAAGACGTCTTCATAGATGCGACGCCGATCTACAGTGACGCGCTGAGGAAGAGTGGATACCGGGAGAACGTACAGTATTTTGACGAGCGTAAAACGGACGAGACAAAGAAGAAGAAAAAAAGGAATCGCCCTCGGAACATCATATGGTTCAACCCACCATTTAGCAAGAACGTCGCCACCAACGTTGGACATCGCTTCCTCCAGCTAGTGGCCAAACACTTCCCCAAAGGCTCAAGCCTCAACAAAATCTTCAACCGGAACTCTGTAAAGGTTAGCTACAGTTGCATGCAGAATATGGCCACTATCATCAAGCAACACAATAACACGATTATGCGACCCAAGAAACAAGCTAACGGAGGTGACAACGATACCAGGACTTGTAACTGTCGGGCGAAAGACTCGTGTCCACTGGACAGAGCGTGTCTAACGGAGGGCATCGTATAGAAGGCAAGAGTCACCGCAGGTATGGAGAAGAAGGAATATACTGGATTAACAGCAACAACATTCAAACAACGCTACTATAACCACCAATCCTCATTCCGCCACAGACAACACGAGAAGGACACCCGCCTATCGCAGTACGTCTGGACCAAAAAGGATGAAGGGAAGGCATGCAGCATTCAATGGGCGGTACACCGCAGAGCAGCGGCCTACAGCAACAAAAGCAAAAGGTGCAACCTGTGCCTGGCAGAAAAATTGGCAATCGCGCAAGCACCCAAGCACCTCTCTCTCAACAAAAGGAGTGAGCTTGTATCGAAGTGTCGCCATGAGAATAGGTACTACCTTCGGAACTTTAAACCATCTACAGCCATCACCTAATTAAGTAAGAGACAACCAGCTCCGGTGGTTGTCACCTTTCACCACTGCTGTCATTCACGCTTTGCACTGCCACTATTTACACTTTGCTTTGTGAGTATATAAACCAATACTGATCCAGATTTCCAATTACTGTTTTCTGATGATCGCTTAGCGCGTGAAACTCTGAGTAAAAACACTTCCTCTGTCCTCCTATTGTTTGATATTAGTGTAGCTGAGAACTATGAAGTGGAAATCTACACAAGAGGAAGGTGCACGCTTCATGCATAGTTCGCGCCTACTGCGCATGCCCATCCAGTGATGTAATTATTATCACTCGCTCTTTCCATGCATGCCCTGCATTGATAGCTCACACCTCCTCTACATGCCCATGCGTATCCCCCACAATAAGAACAAGCTATCCCGCGACAAAAGCATTAGTTGTCTGATGATTGCCTTAGCATTTAGCTACGTGCATGAAACGCAGCGTTACAACGTATGTTTCTATAATTGGTGAAACCATTCTTTTTGACCTTTGCAAGAGGAAGGTGGAATAAAAAAGGTGAAGAGTATTCTCTTTATTATCAAAAGTCATTGAATTCAATTAGTCATTCTGCGCTCTGCTAGAAGGAATCAACAAGGTGTACCCTGCAATCGCCACACTAAAATAAATGAAATCAATGTGTATGGAGTTTTTGATATTTTTATCCACAGGCAGGGCTGTATTTCCAAGTGATGGGGACTTGATCTTCTGTTACCTAATATCCTTCTGTTATTCAGAGCTGAAAGTATCTTTAGATCTCTCTTGCAGTAGATCAAACTCTCCAAACAGCTCTCTGTTGGAATCCGGAGTAGGATCCTCGAAAAAACACGTAGTACACGTGGTAAAGCGAGATTTCGAAAGTGTTTTCGAAGGATTTGTACGAGACCAAAATTGGAGAGCACATGATGAATAAAGAGCTCTAAAAAAGCGATTGCGTGGAAGAATTGATTCACAAAACCTGATTTACGATAGATGTATGCTGCGATGTATTACGTACTGCTAACTGGACAATGACGAGACGTAAGCTAGAAACAAAGGTGTTTGTTATGAAAACCCAATTTGTCTGACTTTTAGCAGGATGGTCATAAGATGGGATGTTGCTATAGGCAAAAGTGTGATTTGTATTACAGGGCAAACAAGGAGATGTACACAAGCCTAGTACAATATGCAACGATTGATCGTTTTTAGTATGAATGTGTTCGTGTGGTGTAAACTTTCAACAAGTAACCCATACACCTAAATATTGGACTGCTAGCTTTCCAATATGTATGTGTAATCCCATGCTCATAGAGTAAATGTTAGCGCTAGATGTTTGAGCACAATCCATGTATGGGGTTTGTCTTCTGTATGCGTTCGGGCATGAGGACACGACATTGCAAGTGCCCTGAATGACCTTTTTCTGTTGTATTCACGTTCATGATCAGGTCGATTTCCTGGTCTGTTGCAATACGATCTACGCGACTTGCTCCTCTAGGAACGATCCAGTTTGTGCATGCGTTCATGAGAATGTAGACTTGATAGCCGCGTGAACGACGCTCCACATGTCTTGCATTTGTAAGGCCCATCTCTAGTATGAATACGCTCATGAACCCGAAGAGTTGACAAATGCTTGAATGATAATTCACATTTTTCGCACTTGTAAGGCCTCTCCCCTGTGTGAATACGTGTGTGGCAACGTAGTTCGGAAGATGTCTTGAACAATGCGTCACATGTCTCGCACTTGTAAGGCCTTTCACCTGTGTGATTCCGTTCATGGATATGTAGACTAGATGATGCCGTGAACGATGCTTGACAAACCTTGCACGTGAATCGTTTCCCACCGGTATGAGTACGTCGGTGCACTAGTAAACTGCTGGAATGAGGGAAGTATTTGCTGCATACATCACACTTGAATGTTCGCTGTCGGGTATGAACACGCTCATGCTCACGAAGTCTGGATCCCTTACAAAACTCTCTCGGGCAATACCGACACTTGAGTAATGTTTTAGACATAGAGCGCGTCTCTTGATCTAAAACCGTAGTGGCAGCCGTAGACCCTACAGGTTCCTGTCGGATATTATGTCCCCGTCCGACTTGCCTCACGTTCTCATGCTCTTCTTTTGCCGTATTTTTCCTTCGTGTTTCAGAAATTCCTTCAGCATCAAACGGAGGGCTGGCTAAAGATGCAAATGTTGGCGGTTCCATCAGCAGTTGTCCAGGCGGTGCTCGATGAATATTGGCACAAAACGTTGAAGATGAGTCTCTTCCGTCTCTAATCATACCAGATATACCGGGTGTTGCCTCATTCGTCCCTTCTTCGTAGGCGTTTTGATGAATGAACGTGTTTGTGGATGATCTCATATCATACGGGTTCATTGTTGCAGCAGCAACCTTAGCAGTTGAGACATTCCATGCCGCCATATCAGCAAAAATCTCTGCAGCACGACTCTGTGTATCTTTGTTTTGGCAGCGATCGGATGTATACGGTGCGGTAGGGGTGTCTTCGTGGAGGTAGCTGTGTAACTGTCTGGTTTGTTCTGGACCCCAACGCATATCAGCATCATTAGAATAGCCTGATATAACTTCTGTCCAAAGTTCTTTCTGCTGATCGTTAATCTGAGTACCGCTGTGGACGAAACAAATGTAAACAAAAGTATAGCTTTTGTTCCTTTTCAAAGGACTCTAAGCGCATAGTTGGGACAATACCTCATGCTTGTGCACGTGGAAGAACCATTGGATACAAGTTGCTACCACACAACAACAAGTAGAACTAATTGGTATTCGAATCTTACAATTTTGGACAACAGCATGGCTACGGGACATGATTAAACGACCCACCCCTATTGTTTAGCCAGAAACTGATATAGTCAGACACACATTAATCCACCTGGAAGTGAACACTCGAATTAATGTCAGGATTAACAATCCACCACTTGCAAAGAAGTTCAACAATTATGCACGTCATTGACAAGGCAGAATGACCCTCTGAAATACATCAGTATACTACAGTCATTCGCATGAACGACAATGTGCTTCATCACATCTACTCCCAACACGACACAGTTTCCAAGCAACATACAAACACATTCAAGATCTTAGCATACTCTACAGTGTTGCTAATTATAACAATTGATATTATCAACAATTTACTCGGACTTACATCGCTTCCAGAGCAGGTTCTTTTTGGACTGAAGTTTCCGAAGGAACTCCTAAACCTGGGATACTTCCGACTGGGCGAACAGATGGCATTGGCGTTGCGGAACTGCATGGCGAGGTATATACTCCTCCTATACCACCCAACTTCGGAGGCTGTATTTGGACATAATGTGAAAGCGTGCGTTTTCTAACGATCATTGTTATTATCACATATGTATCCTTCAGTGATGTCACAATGTGGCACATGTTGGGTGTTCAATAAAAGCACATTATTGTTTCATTGTTCATTGCTATAACGATGATTCCTGTTGAGTGGCATGCGAAAAATTGTTGGATTCGTTGTTCATTTTCACGATTGCATATTCTTTTCTCATTGTTATTGCACAATATTTCCACTATTAATACAGTGTTTCTATAAAATATCCCCTGGTCCGTTCAGCTTGTTCTGTTTTTGCGAATGTAAAATTGTCGTCCCTTCGCAGTTTGTTCATCGAAGCTGATAGTTAAATGATGTATAACACCGATCTCGGTGTAAGGAGCAAACCCTCTTCCTATAATTGAAATACAAACTCGAGTTCTTATGCCTTTGCCGTTTACAGAGAGTCTCCCCCCCCCCCCACTGAATGTAGTTTCATGTGTTTAGAACCTCATTATAGAGAAAACATACTGCCTTCACATAGTGTCCACGTTGTCCAAGGTCGCAAACTGTCCGGCTAGCAGCGCCCCTTGAATTGTCCTTTGTGAAGTCGTTTTCAGCCGTCCTGGAATCGTCACCACACAGTCCCTGTGTATGTTTTTCTCGGGAATCTCCGGCACTTGCTTGGACGTGTGACTGAGTTTCAAGAGGATTGAGGGTGGCAGTCTGCACCGTTTGTTCCCTGGAATCCGCGTCCCTCGCTCTCTGCTGGTTGATATTATACTCGTATGGTCGTTCCTCGCCAAGACAAATAGAGACAAATGTACGAACTGCTCGATCGACATTTTCTTGGCTCCAGCAATTGTCCTCATCTTTGACTAAATCCTCTTGATCGCTTCGTTGGGGATCGCTGTTTTCCCGGTCTTCCATAGCACTTTCCCCGTACAATTGAATCCCAAGAAGAAACCAATTTGTGTTGCCGAAAATGAACAGAACCCCACTCTTAAAGACACTGACTGGCAGAGGAGCACACAACCTTGAAAATACAAACTCCAAAACTCAACTCAAGTCATAATAATATCATAATGAACACGGTTCAAAATTCATAGATTCGTTGGAAAGAGAGAGAGAGAGAAAATGTCAAAAGGCAGAGCTTATCAAGGGACTGGGTAGCTATGGAAATGAATGTGCTAAAGCGCGAATCTAGCTACCCAGGCCAACGGAAGAAAAGGTTAGAAAAGGGGACAAGGGTGAGTACGAGAGTGTAAAGGTGAGCATGAGCCTGTAAAGGTTAGTACGATTGTGCGAGTGCGTGCATATGTGAGATCGTGAACCTAACAGAGTTGTAACTATGTCATGCAGATTCTATTTCAAAAACTGTGAATGCTTCACCATCAATGGGCACTTCCTTCAAAACAAGAGCGGCATCATCCTTACCTGTGTTGAAATCATTATCTTACGTGACATGCAAGGGTTGACGAGTTTAGCACACCATTGGTGAAATCTCATGAGAAACAAGAACAATTATCGAACTTGTGGTGAACGATTTTTGGGGTCTGATGCTCGTCCTTTTTGCGACTCCAGTCTGAGTGGTGGGAGTTCGCAGAATGTGGCGAGGAGTGGGTTTTCTTCAGGTCCGGTGAGAAGCCAGTGTAAGTCTGCTTGTTGTAACTCGAAGTTGCTTTCTTGTCTAGCAGCTGTTCGTCTCTAACATGTCGATACTTTAATCAGTGACAATTCAGGGCCGTTTGACAACGCAGAGTTTGCTCTCAGCGCGACTCCATCGATCCGGCAAGAAGGATATTTTAAAATTCAGCTTATAATGAAAATTCTATTTCTAGGACTCGGATGACAATGCTCCAACCACCAACCATGTGTTGACATGATCACGGTATCTGATTGCAGCAATACAGACTCTTAATACCAAGGCATGTGTTTATGTGATAATGTGCGACATCAAGCTTGCATGGACATGATCTATAAAGTTCTCCATTATAACTTGAATATTAGCCCTGCGGGTATGTTGGAGACTACTCTAGTTTATCATCGAAGCCCTTCTGGAATGCGCTTATAATAGAGACTGGGTTTCTACAAGAGACTGGGCTTGCAATAGGAATAAAATGGTATAGACCAGATGGGAATGGGGATGTTATGTCCATAGAAATCAGAACGATTCTCTTTACTGTTAGCCTCCTCAAAAATGCACGAACTACACGACCAACTTACCAGATACACGTTATAGCCGTGAATTTACGTCTTTACCCAACAGCTCGATCTCTCGAAGAGTACCTGAAAAGCGCGTGCTCAAACTTGTGGCGAGTACGTTGTCAAAATGGCAACTAAGCTGCCTGGAAAATAAGTTGCAACTAGCACCATATCGCGAAGTCCAGTGCATCATACGTGATCATTTGTCACGCTGTCAACATGCCATCATACATCATAACATCGTGAAAATCGTGTTAATGATCAACCTGATTTTCCAGATTTTGATACTGATCTTGGTTGTTTATCAACCCTTAAAAATCGTTCGATCTGCATGTCATGTGGTGGTCGACTCAAAGGCCAGTTTCAGGACGTAAACATATCGGTCACACATTGAGATTTGTCCGTCGGAAAAGGTTGTAGAACGTACGGGACGAGGTACATAACATTATGTTCTTCAATTGTGCAGAGCAACTTTGCCGCTCCTCTATGAATCGCCATTTCTTTACTGGATGTAGCCATGACTCTACGTGTCGGTGATGTAAATACTACTCAGGTGAGGTACTGGTGGCAAAGTAGGGGTTTGTTCTTCCCTCCATTTTGTACTCTGTACCAGGACTTGTTTTTGGACCTAAAAAATCACTCGAATTTTGGGCCCATTTCGAGGTAGTCTAAAAGTCCCAAGGTGTTCGTCAGTTGTGCAACAAGTCCTTTTGCATGGTTGTTGTAGACCCCAAAAGAAACATTTTGCATAATTCGAGCGAAAGAGAAGAGGTGGCCCAGCGCAGCATTCCTGGCTTTCACATACCTGCTCTCTTAAAATTAAAGCGGGCTTTCGGACGTGTTTTGGTATGAATTACTCTATACTGGAATTGGAGAGTACCTCAAGTACGTAAATCTAGAATTCTGCAAAAACGTTAGAGTGGAAGAATTGATTCACAGAATATGATTTATGATAGACGTGTGCAGCGATGTATTGTATACTGCAATGTGGACACTGACGAGCCGTAAGCTAGAAACAAAGGTGTTTGTAGGGTAATATAATTTGTCCAACTTGCAGCAAGATGGTCATAGGATGGGCTGAAGCTATAAGCAAAGGTGTGATTTTATATCTCACGGCAAACAAGAAGATGCACACAAGCCGAGTACAAGAGATAATCATTGGACCTTATTATTATGAATGTGTTCGTGTGCTGTAAATATGCTCCTGGATGAAGGACTGCTGGCAATCACATCGGTACGTGTGAGCGCATGCTCGTGCAAGGAGTTGGAGACTAATTCGTGCACACTTTAAAACCATTTTTAAGTTTGTGGAAAGAGAGCGCGGCCTCTGGATCTAAGTATGACAAAACCGTTCCTACCGCATTCTGCATACGTTGATCAACGCCTGTGATAGATTAGTCAGAAGACGTCTGAGCAGAAAGTATGCCATATTCGGATATATTCCTGTTGATCCTGATTTATGGCGGCATTGGAGTGGCTCATTTGTACCAACACTGCAGTTAGACATCGACTCTTCACCGTCTTCCATTTCTCGCTCAAAAACTGCAGTGCTATAAGGCATGAACTATACGTTACTAGCGGAACGAGAATACCAACAAAACTGAATTACAAGACAGATTCAGCAATTTAGGGAAAAGAAGTCATCTTCATGGCTTCGCATGGTATTTTAACGGTGAGTCAGTAGAAGCTAACGTTACAAATTAGGCGACTTTCTCTCACCTCAGAGCTAAATGTTCACTCCGCAGAACGTCGAGATTTTATTATCCTAATAGTCCACTTGATTTGAAGGTATCAGTAAACGAAGTGCTGCAAGAAAAAGATATCCTTCTGCATCAGCCGTTAGTGACCTTGCAGATCCAGCCACCACCATTATATAACCATATCGTTAGTAAGGCGTGATTATTTTCGCGAACTCCTGACACTGGGTAACCCATGCCTACTCCGCACAAGGTGATAATACATTTTCTAGGTTTCTACTTCTCCTTTGCACCCTGAGAATGTTCTTTGCACTGACAAGGAGGTACAACCCTAACTAAGGCAGGATGAGCAATCAAACTCGCTGCATTCACACACTGCGTTTGGACTTGTGTTTCACGCCCTAAGTGGGAGATAGCCAGGTCCTATCTCGTAAGGGAAACACGTATCCAAGAATATCGCCGAAGTGCAACAACCCCGTCATTAACCACTTCTTCTCACTTTTGACCCCAACGCAGACTCAGGATTTAGACTGGCTGTGTGCAACGTTGTAAACCTCAACACCCCTCGCCTTTTTTCAGCACCGACATGAGCCAAAATGACTCAAACTGCTGTCAGGAGTTCGCTAGGTGTTTATCGCACTGGAAACGGAGTATCACTGTTAGTTAGTGTCGGATAGCTCTGCATAATGCAGTGCTTTCGGAGCATAACTTTTATAAGCGTACAAATGTTGATGATGGTTGAACCCTTTCGAAATAATATGTCTGGAGCAGGGAGTGGTGCTTTCTTTCAAGTTTGTAGATCTTGGATGGTTCGATCGATTTATCCAGTCCTCTGTATCGCAATCGTGATTCAGTCAACTGAGTGACATTCAAGTCGGCAGGAAAAGCGCAAGCTCTCACGTAGGAAGTGGTACAAATTCCCACAGTATAGCAGAAGTCGTAAAAGTGAGAATTACTCGAATGTTTGTTATTAAATTTGCTATATTTACTACTTTGCGCTAGTGCGCCACAACCTGGAGGATAAAACTAGCTTTCCATGATGCTGCAATACAATTCCGGCTGACTCACCACTGCTGCTTGAACAAAATGGCTGCACTTCCGATAGACTTCTACATACCTGCTTTTACACACACAGTCAATGCCCGTAGTTCAAGACTGTCATACGCTTGGCCTCATCCGTTTTGTAATCCACTGAAGCCAGTATGATCCGAGTGTTGGCCGCACCATGTTCTGTTTGCAAGTCCATTCCTATACTCTGTTATATTTATAAATCCTTGCTTGATGAGCCTCCAGAGTTAGCAGTATGAATATACCCATTGCTGTATGAATATACCCATAGCTGTGTCATACATTGCAGTATTGTTAAAGAGTGTGTAAAGACACGATTGTCTGCTATAAGTTCCTGTGCATGGCCACAGCTTGAAAGCATAATTTCATATAATAAGCATAAAAACTAGGTTATTGTTGGCATCCTCAAAGGCATCATTTTGGGATTTTCACCAACATCCTCCGGCTATAGCTATTGCAGGGCCGTAGTGTCTCATGTACTTCGAAATAGATGTTAGGCGTCTGTGCATAGCCCTAAATGGATATGCTTCCCAATTGTCATTATTCCTTGATCCATTCATTTGATAATCTCCTTTTCCAGTTGGCGTTGTAGCAAGATTTATCCTTCGTGTTTGGTATACTATAATTCGTAGGCGTTCAAACTTCGTAATTTTCGTAAAGCTCTCGAAAGTTACTAGATTAAAACGGTTGCTAAAATTTGTCACACCTGCATTTGTCCGAATTAGTAGTGTAAACGTGTACCGATTAAAGCCAATCATCGATTTATAGTTTTCGGTTGAATGAGCAATGTTTCCCCTCCAAGACGGAACGTTAGCACACAGTTTTCTAGAATAACACGATAACTTCACATGGTTCTATACATGGAAACCAATACAATAATGCAGCTTAAAGTTTTCTAAAACGACCCGGCAACTTATAAACCAAAGCAAATGTCACTGCAAGGTTGTAACTAGTAAGGTTTTAAAATATTATCCTAAACATGTTCAACACTGTAACTAGATACTCTATACAGTCAGAAAGTGCAACGACTAGGCACAAAACTTACAGAGTAGTGAGACATTCGACGTCCTGACACCTAGCTCCAACACATCTCCGTAGCGCTCGTTTCCATATGTCCTTTTTCTTTTCTACAT